ACCCTGACATAGAGGCAAAAGATGCCAGGAAAACAGGGCGAAGTGCGCGGACCTAGTCCTCTTTGAGAAGCTTTCCTTCACGCAGCCCTCTGTTTCCACGCGTTACGAGCGTGTTACGACGGTCGGAGGCCGGTCCGGACGCCGCAATTTCCCGGCCACACCCTGACAGAGGCCCAAAAGTTGCCCCGAAAAGAGGGCTGCGCAGACACACCTCGTCCTCTTTGAGACGCTGTCCTTCCACGCAGGCCTCCGTTTATGCTCGTTCCGAACACGTTCCCATGGTCTGAGGCCCGCCCGAAGGCCGGGATTTCCCAGCTCCACCCTGACAGAGGGGCAAAAGTTGCCCCGAAAAGAGGGCCACACGGACACACCTGGTTCGCTTGGAGACGCAGTCCCTCGCACAGGCCTCCGTTTCCGCCCATTCCGAGCTCGTTCCGAGAGTCGGAGTCCCGCCCGCAGGCCGCGACTTCCTGGCTCGACCCTGACAGAGGGGCAAAAGTGGCCCGGAAAACAAGGAGATGCACGCACCTAGTCACCTTTGAGATGCTGTCCCTCCGTGCAGGAATCTGTGCCCGCAGTTCCGAGTGCGTTCCGACAGTCGGAGACCCGCCCGGAGGCCACGATTTCCTGGCTCCACCCTGACAGAGGGCCAGAAGTTACCCCGAAAAGAGGGTGACTCGGACACACCTAATCCGCTTTGAGACGCTTTCTCTCCGCACAGAAATCCATTTCTGCCCATTCCGTGCACGTTCCGACGGACGGAGGCCAGCCCGGAGGCCGCGATTTCCCGGCCCCACACTGAGAGAGGGCCAAAAGTTGCGCCGAAAAGCGGGAGACGCGGACATACCTAGTACTCTTTGAGACGCTCTCCCTCTGCGCAGGCCTCCCTTTCTGTCCGTTCCAAGCGCTTCCAGACGGTCGGAGTCCCACCCAGAGGCGGCGATTTCCCAGCTCCACCCTGACAGTGCTGCAAAAGTTGCCCTGAAAACAGGGCGACATGTGCGCACCTAGTCCTCTTTGAGACACTGCCCCTTGCGCAGGCCTCCGCTTCCGCCCGTTCTGAGCACGTTCCGATGGTCGGAGGCCCGCCCGGAGGCGGGGATTTCCCAGCACCCACCCTGACAGAGGGGCAAAAGTTTCGCCGAAAAGAGGTGGTCGCATGCACACTTAGTCCTCTTTGAGACGCTCTCCCTCCATGCAGGCCTCCATTTCCGCCTATTCCCAGCACGTTCCGACGGTCGGAGGCCCGCCCAAAGGCTGCGAATTCCCGGCTCCTCCCTGACAGAGGGCCAAAAGTTGCGCGGAAAACAGGGCAACGCGTGCACCTAGTCCTCCTTGAGGCGCTGTCCCTCCGAGCAGTCCTCTGTTTCCGCCTGTTCCGTTCGCATTTCGACGGTCGGTGGCCAGCCCGGAGGCTGAGATTTCCCGGCCTCACGCTGACAGAGCGCCAAAAGTTGCCCCGAAAAGAGGGTGACACGGACACACCTAGTCTTCTTTGAGACGGTGTCAATCCGCACAGGCCTCCGCTTCCGCACGTTCCGAGTGCGTTCCGAAGATCGGAGGCCCGCCCGGAGGCCGGGATTTCCCAGCACCCACCCTGACAGAGGAGCAAAAGTTTCGCCGAAAAGAGGTGGTCGCATGCACACTTAGTCCTCTTTGAGACGCTCTCCCTCCATGCAGGCCTCCATTTCCGCCTATTCCCAGCGCGTTCCGAGGGTCGGAGGCCCGCCCAAAGGCTGCGAATTCCCGGCTCCTCCCTGACAGAGGGCCAAAAGTTGCGCGGAAAACAGGGCAACGCGTGCACCTAGTCCTCCTTGAGGCGCTGTCCCTCCGAGCAGTCCTCTGTTTCCGCCTGTTCCGTTCGCATTTTGACGGTCGGTGGCCAGCCCGGAGGCCGAGATTTCCCGGCCCCACTCTGACAGAGTGAGAAAAGTTACCCCGAAAAGAGGGTGACTTGGACAAACCTAGTCCCCTTGGAGACGTTTTCCCTTGCGCAGACCTCCATTTCCGGCCGTTCCGAGCACGTTCCGATGGTTGGAGTCCGCCCGGAGTCCGCGATTTCCCGACACCGCCCTGACAGAGGGCCAAAAGATGCCCCGAAAAGAGGGTGACGCGGACACACCTAGTCCTCTTACAAATGCTGTCCCTCAGCACAGGCCTCCGTTTCCGCCCGTTCCGAGGACGTTCCGACGGTCGGAGGCCCGCCCGGAGACCGCAATTTCCTGGCCCCACCCTGACAGTGGGGCCAAAGTTGCCCAGAAAAAAGGTGGATGTGCGCGCACCTAGTCCTCTTGGAGACCCTGTCCCTCCACGCAGGAATCCGTTTCCACCTGTTCCGAGTGCGTTCCGATGGTCGGATGCCCGTCAAGAGGCCACAATTTCCCGGCTCCAACCTGACAGAGGGGCAAAAGTTGCCCCGAAATGAGGGCAACGTGGACACACCTAGTCCGCTTTGAGACGTTGTCCCTTGCGCAGGCCTCCACCTCCGCCCGTTCCGAGCGTGTTCCGACGGTCGGAATCCCATCCGGAGGCAGAGATTTCCCGGCCCCACGCTGACAGTGGGGCTAAAGTTTTCCCAAAAAAAGGGGATGCGTGCACAACTAGTCCTCTTGGAGACCCTGTCCCTCCGGGAATGTCACCGTTTCCACCCATTCCGAGTGCGTTCCGACGGTCACAGGACCGCCCGGAGGCCACGATTTCCCGGTTCCACCCTGACGGACAGCCAGAAGTTACCCCGAAAAGAGGGTGACTCGGACACACCTAGTCCCCTGTGAGACACAGTCCCTCCGCGCAGGAATCCATGTCCGCCGTATCGAGTGCGTTCTGACGGTCGGAGGCTCGCCTGGAGGCCACGAATTCCCGGCCCCACCCTGACAGAGGGTCAAAAGTAGCCGCGAAAAGAGGGTTGCGCGGACACACCTAGTCCTCTGTGAGATGCTGTCCCTCGCGCTGGCCTCCGTTTCCCCCCGTTCCGAGCACGTTCCGACAGTCGGAGGCCCACCCGCAGGCTGCGATTTCCCGGCCCCACCCTGACAGTGGGGCCAAAGTTGCCCCGAAAACAGGGGGATTCGCGCGCACCTAGTCCTCTAGGAGGCACTGTCCCTACGTGCAAGCCTCAGTTTCCGCCCGTTCCGAGCACGGTCCGACAGTCATAGGCCTGTCTTGAGGCCGCGATTTCCCTGCCCTACCCTGACAGAGGGGCAAAAGTTACCACGAAAACAGGGTGAAGTGAGTGCACCTAGTCCTCCTTGACACACTGTCCCTAGCGCAGGCCTCTGTTTCCGCCCATTCTGAGAGCATTCCGACTGACGGAGGAATGCCCGGAAGCTGCGATTTCCCTGCCCACAATGACAGATGGGCAAGAGTTGTCGGAAAAGAGGGCAACATGGACACACCTACTCCTCTTTGAGACGCTGTCCCTCCGCGCAGGCCCCCGTTTCCACCCGTTCTGAACGCGGTCCGACAGTCGGAGGCCCGTCTGGAGGCCAGGATTTCCCGGCTCCACCATGACAGAGGGGGAAATGTTGCCTCGAAAAGAGGGCGACTTGCACACCTAGTCCTCTTTGAGATGCTGTCCCTCCGAGCAGAGGTCCGTTTCTGCCCGTTCTGAATGCGCTCCGATGGTCGGAGGCCTGCCCGGAGCCTGGGATTTCCCGGCTGCACCCTGACAGAGGGGCAAATGTTACCCTGAAAACAGGGCAACGTGCGCTCACCTTGTCCTATTTGAGACGCTTTCCCTCTGCGCAGGCCTCCGTTTCTGCCAGTTCTATGCGCATTCCGGCTGTCGGAGTCCCACCTGGAGGCCGCGATTTCCCGGCCCCACCCTGTCAGAGTGGCAAAAGTTTCCCCGAAAAGAGGGCGACGCGGACAAACCTAGTTCTCTTTGAGACGGTGTCCCTCCAGGCAGGCCTCCGTTTCTGCGCATACCGAGCGCGTTCCAATGGTCGGAGGCCCGGCCGGAGGCCGCCATTTCCCGGCCCCACCCTGACAGAGGGGCAAAAGTTGCCTGGAAAAAGGGCAACACACGCACCTAATCCTGGTGGAGAAGCTGTCCCAACACGCAGGCCTCCGTTTCTGCACGTTCCGAGCGCATTCCGACGGGCGGAGGATTTCCCGGCCTCACCCTGACAGAGGGACAAAAGTTACTGTGGTAACCCCCCTTATAATCAAACATGCAGCCAGGGCATGCCTCATCACGGGTAAAAGAAAGCATGATCAGGGTGTCCTGTTCGCGTGAACAAATAACAGGAACCTGCAACGAATGTGCACGCTACGCAAGGATGAGAACAAAGCAGACCACGCTCAAGCATAACCGCCAGCGTCACGCCCTTGTAACCTCGCTTGCTTGCCTTAGCATGGGAAAGGTGCAAAATGTGCAAATGTAACTCAGGGGGGTTCCCCATTGTCCACTGTCATTCATGCACCTGCATAGCTGTAAAAGAGTACAAAATTAGCTGCATTCGTGTGCCTGGTACCACACTCTCACGAGTGCATGGTCCCTGCCGGCAGGTAAATATATCTCTCGGTAATTCCAACCAGTCTCTGGTCTCGTCTGTAAAATCGCTCCACAACAATTGGAGGCACCAGCGAGATTAGAGACCACCGGTCTTGCCCCCCCGACACCGGGAACGAGCATCTTGTGCCTCTACCCTGGGTCGGTGGGACGTCTGACTGGCCGAGAGAGAAATTACCGGTAAGTGCGCACGGCGGTTACCCGCCATCTGTTCTGAATATCTGCAGATCCGGTATTGGAAAGAAAAGCCTGCTGGACGCAGCGCAAAGGCTACTTTCCGGTCGGGGGCGAGACGTCACTTCCGGCCTCAGTTCCTGTTTAGGTTGTGCATCTGTTTAGATCGTCCGTCTTTTCTGCCTTGTTGCTGTCTATTGTCTGTAATGTCTGTCTTGTTGCTGTCTATTGTCTGTATTGTCTGTCTTGTTGACGTTTGTCGTCTGTTCTATTGGTCTGTCACTTGAGTAATCTTTTTCCTCAGGACTGGAAAATGGGGCAGGGCCAGTCCGTCCCGACCACCCCACTGCAATGTCTTCTGAATAACTTTTCTGATTTCTTTAAAAGGGCTTCAGGATTCGGGGTCCCCGTCAAGCCAGGAACCCTCCGGACCCTTTGTGAATTAGAGTGGACCACTTTTGACGTAGGATGGCCCGCAGTGGGCTCTTTTGATTTGATCTTGATTAGGAACGTCGAGGCTGTGATCCTTGGGAATCCCGGACACCCAGATCAGATTCCGTATATAGAAACGTGGCTGGACATCGCCAAGGCGAAACCCGGTTACATTAAACGATGTCAACGGAAACTCCCAGGATCCACATGCCCTTCTCTCCTTACGGTGAAAAAGGGAGGAGAACCCTGCGTCAGGTTGCCCCTCATCCCATCCACGAAACCCCGCATCCTCACGGATGATCAGACGGGGCCGGAAGATACCCTGGACACTTGGACACAACCACCGCCCTATGCCCCGAATTCCCAGGCTTCCGGGAGCCCGCCCCACACTACCCCCAGCCCGGCCCGAACGCGGAGTGGACTTCCGTATGGCCTCCGCCCATCTGTCCCTCTGAAGTCTACTCTGCCCTTGCCATCCTCTGGCCACGGGGACAGACGGGTGTCGTCGGCCTCCCCCGATCCCGGCCCTGAGCCCGACACTCTATTGCCCCTCCGGGAGCTTGCCCCCGCGCAGGGGACAGGCCGCCCGTTCATGGTTTATGTCCCTTTCTCCACAAGTGACCTGTATAACTGGAAGCTACAGAATCCTCCTTTCTCTGAAGAACCTCAAGGTTTAATCTCGTTGTTAGAGACGATTTTTCACACCCACCGCCCTACTTGGGACGACTGCCAGCAACTCTTGCAGGTTCTTTTTACTTCCGAGGAGCGCGATCGGATTCACCTCGAGGCTCGGAAGCAGATTTTTGGCACAGGTGGTCAACCCACCACTGACCCGGTTATTCTGGAAACGAGCCTCCCAGCCCAACGACCCAACTGGTATCCGAATACGGTTGCTGGGGAGGGAGCTATGACCCGGTACCGCCAACTTCTCCTCCAGGGCCTCCGCGGCGCAGCGCGGAAACCGACCAATTTGTCTAAAGTAAGTGAGATAGTTCAGAGCCCCCGGGAATCCCCCGCAGCTTTCTTGGAACGCCTACTTGAGGCATATAGGCAATACACACCTATAGACCCACAAGCGCCTGAAAACGCGCGGGCAATTAACCTAGCCTTTGTTACACAATCGGCACCAGACATTAGGAAAAAGATTCAAAAGCTAGACGGGTTCGAAGGGAAAAACCTCAGTGAACTAGTTGAGATAGCTCAGAAGGTTTTTAATAATCGTGAGGATCCAGAAGTTGCAGGCACAAAGAAATTAACCAAAGTGGTCTTGGCAACCATGCAGGAAACTAGCGATAGGAATCGGGGGGCTCCTCGGAAGGGGGGTCGCCCCCGCCTAGAAAGAGATCAATGCGCCTACTGCAAGGAGAGGGGCCACTGGAAAAGCGAGTGTCCCCGCAAGAAGAAAATGAACCAAAAAGAAAAGAGTCTCCTCACCCTTGAGGAAGACTGAAGGGGCCAGTGCTCTGTCAATTTAGGCCCCCAAGAGCCCTTGGTAACCTTAACTGTGGGGGGCCGCCCGACTACCTTCCTGGTAGATACCGGGGCAGCCCACTCGGTTCTCCGGGAGGGGGTTGGCCGTCTTACTGAAGAAAAGACTCAGATCATAGGGGCAACGGGATGACCCAGGGCGTACCCTTGGACTTCAGCTCGAGTGACTGATCTGGGAAAAGGGACTATCACTCATTCATTCTTGGTGATCCCCGAATGCCCCTTCCCCCTCCTGGGGCGAGACCTCTTAAGGAAACTGCGGGCCTCGGTGTCGTTCCAAGAGCACGGCACCCACCTCAGCCTAGGGTCTCCGCAGCCTGCTGCCTTTCTGCTCACTGTACCCTTGCAAGACGAGTATCTCTTCTTCGAAAGTCAGGTGCCAGAAAGCCCTTCTGAGGCTTTAAAAGAACTCCAAAAAGAAGTTCCAGGAGTGTGGGCCGAAAACAACCCTCCTGGTCTGGCGGCTTATCAGCCACCCGTCGTGGTACAGGTCAGTAGTTCGGCTACCCCATTCCGGAAACCCCAATACCCCGTTCCAGCCAGGGCGAAGATAGGAATACGTAAGCATATACAGAGGCTGTTGGAAGCAGGAATTTTAGTACCCTGCAGGTCACCATGGAACACCCCGTTGTTACCGGTCAAAAAGCCCGGCACCGAAGACTACCGGCCAGTTCAGGACTTACGTGAGGTAAACGCCCGGGTAGAGACTGTCCACCCAACTGTCCCAAACCCTTACACACTACTCAGCCAGCTGCCACCAGATCAGGAATGGTACTCAGTCTTGGACTTAAAAGACGCCTTCTTTTGCATACCGCTGGCCCCGGTGAGCCAGCCTCTCTTTGCCTTTGAGTGGACGGATCTGGACCAGGGGTTCTCGGGTCAACTTACGTGGACCAGGCTGCCACAGGGGTTTAAGAACTCCCCTACCCTCTTTGATGAAGCTCTAAGTAGAGACCTTTCCCCTTTTCGGGAAAACCATTCCGAGGTTACCCTTTTGCAATACGTGGATGACTTGCTCTTGGTGGCAGAGTCCGCGCCTGCGTGCCTGCAGGCGACTAGAGACCTCCTGGCCGCCCTGGGCTCCATGGGATATCGGGTTTCAATAAAGAAGGCACAGATCTGCAGTCAGAGGGTGACTTATTTGGGATACGATCTTAGTGGGGGAAAGTGGACACTGTCAGCCAGCCGAGTCCGAGCAATCCAGAATATTCCCACGCCCACGACTAAACGACAAGTCAGAGAATTCCTGGGCACGGTAGGGTACTGCCGGCTGTGGATCCCCGGCTTTGCCAAGATAGCGAAACCCCTCTACACCAGCACGGGAGGAAAGGGTGACTCCCTAATGTGGACTGAGGTTGAGCAATCAGCGTTTCAGGATCTTAAAAAGGCTATTACCACGGCCCCCACTCTGACCCGATCTTAAGAAAACCTTTGAACTTTTTGTGGCTGAGGCTCGAGGTATAGCAAAAGGAGTTCTAACCCAGACCTTGGGCCCATGGAGGCGGCCGGTTGCGTATTTGTCAAAACGACTAGACCCAGTGGCGGCAGGCTGGCCCACTTGCATGAGAGCAATTGCCGCAACAGCGGTGCTGGTGAAAGAGGCCAAGAAACTGACACTGGGCCAGGACCTCCAAGTCATTGGGGCGCACGCCATGGAAACCCTCCTCCGAAGTCCACCGGATCAATGGATCGCCAACGCCCGAGTGACTCAATAACAGGTACTTTTATTGGACCCCCCGCGGGTCACTTTTTCCAGGGCAGCGGTCCTTAATCCGGCGACCCTACTACCAGACGATCAACACGAGAGTCCCACACATGATTGTGCTGAGATCCTCAACACCCTGACCGGCACCAGACCAGACCTGAAGGACGTCCCGCTAGGGCAGCCAGCCCTCAATTTGTTTACAGACGGGAGCAGTTTCGTCAAGGACGGGATTCACTTTGCGGGAGCAGCGGTGGTCACCAGCTCTGAGGTAATATGGGCACAGGCTCTGGGGCATGGCACGTCAGCAAAAAAGGCAGAACTTGTCGCCCTGACACAGGCACTCCGATGGGGGAAGGGAAAAGCTCTCAACATTTATATGGAGAGCCGATACGCTTTCGCCACGGCTCATGTCCATGGAGCATTGCATAAGGAACGAGGGCTGCTAACCTCTGGAGGGAAGGACATTAAGAATGCAAACGAGATTATGTCTCTCTTAGAAGCCCTCTGGCTGCCTGAACGAATAGCTATAAGCCATTGCCCTGGGCATCAACGGGACGGCTCGGCGGTCTCAGAGGGAAATAACTTCGCTGATAGAACCGCAAAGGAGGCCGCCCCGAGACCAGTAGGGCCCCTCGAAATTCTCCCGGTTCAGATGCCGCCCCGGGCTCTCCCAGACCGACCGACCTACTCGAAGGAGGATATCGAGCCGAGCAAGGAATTGCGGTGCTCTGAGACTGAGACGGGATGGCTGAAGCACCCCGATGGAAGAATCTTTCTCCCCCAAGCACTTGGACGAGATCTTCTTCTACAGACCCATCGAGCCACACACTTGGGAACGGCCCGACTCTGTCAGCTATTTAGACCTCATTTCTACCTGCCCGGACTTTCAGCTCTGGCCGAGTCCATAACCTCCGGGTGCGCCTCCTGCGCGCGAGTTAACGCTGGCCCCAGCCGGCCTCCCACCACCCCGGGCGTCCGCCATCGTGGATCCCAGCCGGGAGAACACTGGGAAATAGACTTCACTGAGGTAAAACCCATCCAAGGTAGGTACCGCTATTTACTGGTCTTCATCGACACCCATTCCGGGTGGGTGGAAGCGTTCCCAACGAAGGGAGAGACAGCCCTGATTGTGGCCCGGACTCTCCTGCATCAAATTCTACCAAGATTCAGGGTACCCCTAGCTCTAGGTTCAGATAATGGTCCGGCGTTCATCGCCCAAACTTCCAAATTGGTAGCCAAAGCTCTGGGGATTGATTGGAAACTGCATTGTGTGTATAGGCCGCAGAGCTCAGGACAGGTAGAGAGGATGAATAGAACGCTAAAGGAAACCTTAACAAAATACACTCTTGAAGTTGGCGGCCCCTGGACAGACCTCCTTCCTTTTGCCCTCCTACGCACGCGATGCTCCCCTTATAAGAACGGTTTCACCCCCTTCGAAATCGTGTTCGGGCAAGCGCCTCCCCTGCTACCCCGCCTGGCAGAGGAGACGCGCGCCGAGTTGTCTAACCACAACTTGCTTGAGTCCTTGCAGGCCCTCGATCGCGTCCGGCACGATATTCGCCGACAGGTTCAGTCCAACAAAGGCGGGACTGCTAAGGCTCCGGACCCCACGCCCGACCCTCCCCCATGCGTAAACCCGGGAGATTGGGTCTGGCTAAAGAACTTTCACCCTGTCACCCTAGGTGCCCGGTGGCTAGGACCCTTCCAGGTGATCCTCTCCACTCCCACGGCGGTTAGACTGGCCGAAAAACCCCACTGGTTCCACGTAACACAGATAAAGCCTGCCTCGCTGGCCCTCTCGGAACAATGGACGGTACACCAAACCGGAGATCCTCTGCGAGTCAAGTTAAAAAGAGTCTCCCCCCCCTCTTCCCAGCAGCCCTCCTGATTCTTCTCGCCCGCACAGTAGGCTGTCCCCTCCCAAACCCACACCAGCCACTCACCATGGAATGGACTCTGCAGACTGATTGGCAGACCTCCCCGCCAGTAGCGACCGTCCTGACTCACACCCACGATACCTCCCCGGACTTCCGCATAGACCTCTGCCAACTCCTTCCACCCGGATGGGTCAAGCCAGGCATCTGGGGTTTTGGATGCAGAAGTGATATCTGGGAAAGGGGACTGTCAGAGAAGGAATATTATGGCTGTCCATCGGATGGGAGCTCCGATTGCAGTGACGCGCCCAACTTCTACTGCGCCCGATGGGGTTGCGAGACTTTCGCTACCTGGTTGGAAGGCCAAAATAGGGATCCATGGCTCGCAGTGAAAAGGGTGCCGGCCGGTCAGGCGGGGACCGGCAGTCAAAACCCCCTGATCCTCAAGATCAAGCGAGGCGGAGAAGATTCTTGGGTAAAAGGTAAAACCTGGGGCCTGCGCTTGAATCTGTATGGTCCGGATCCGGGCATACTTCTCACGATTCGGAAACGGGTTATCTCACGACCTTGGGGCCAGGTGGGACCCAACCAGGCCCTCCCTCACCCTCAGATAGAGCCCCCCGCCCCCACTCAGCACATCCCTGACCCTCACACACATCGTGCTCCAGCCCGGGCTGCTAGTCGACCATCATCCAGCCGCTCAGTTGCATTAGTGAGCACAGTTTCTGCAGTCCTCAACGGAACCAACCCAAACATTACCGAGACATGTTGGTTATGCCTGAGTACCCAGCCACCTTTTTATAATGGAGTAGGAGTGAATGTCTCTTTTTCCAACTTTGCTAATATCTCCTACTCGGAAAATTATGGGAGCGCCTGCCCGTGGGGCCTCCACCCCTCTATAACATTAGAAGAGTTCTCAGGTCAAGGAACCTGTGTCACGGTCCCCGGTGGACCCCGCAAGGATCCACGATGTGCGGCCACCTTGCTCCTCACCCTCACAGCCCTCCCCTACCTCCTGGCAGCCCCGAATGGGACTCTTTTCGCTTGCCGATCCGGCCTCACCCCGTGCATTTCCTCCACCCTTTTTCTAATCCCCCCGCAGTCCTGCGGCTGCGCAAGCTCCCCAGCCGGATCTTTGTATTCTGACTATAGTACTCCCGAAGGTTTTTCTCGCCAATGGAGAGATGACCCCCGCGGCTGCTTCCCCGGACTCACGCATCCGGCGCGCTGTGCCTCTCCTAGCTCCTCTTTTAACTGGGCTGGGCATCGCAGGCTCCGCGGCTGTCGGGGCTGGAGCTTTGATAAAAGGCAGCCAGGACATACTCCACCTCTCTGAACAAGTCGATAAAGACTTGCAAGAGCTTCACGGCTCCATCAAATTTTTAGAGGAATCCCTTGACTCCCTCGCCGAGGTGGCCCTCTAAAACAGGAGGGGATTAGATTTACTTTTGCTAAAACAAGGCAGCTTATGAGCTGCCTTGGATGAGAAGTGCTGCTTCTACGCAAATCACTCAGGCATCATCCGTAACAGCCTAGGCTTAGTCAAAGCCCGCCTGGAGGACCAGGAAAGGCGCCGCAAGGAGGATTCCAACTGGTATCAGTGCCTCTTCAACTGGTCCCCCTGGTTGACCAGCCTGCTCTCTTCCCTTGCAGGACCCTTTTTAGGGTTGTTATTTTTCTGTGCTTTTGGCCCCCTCCTGCTCCGTTGGATTACCCGCCTTGTCAAGCAGCGCATTGACGCTGTGAGAATACAGGCACTTCAGACCAGAGCCAGGGTGTGGGCTGAAAGCAGCATCCGTTAGCGGCTCACTGACTCGATGATTCGATTCCCCAAGAAGACCAGTAGGGAATGTGGTAACCCCCCTTATAATCAAACATGCAGCCAGGGCGTGCCTCGTCACGGGTAAAAGAAAGCATGATCAGGGTGTCCTGTTCCTGTAAACAAGAACAGGAACCCGCAACAAATGTGCACGCTACGCAAGGATGAGAACAAAGCAGACCACGCTCAAGCATAACCGCCAGCGTCACGCCCTTGTAACCTCGCTTGCTTGCCTTAGCATGGGAGAGGTGCAAAATGTGCAAATGTAACTCAGGGGGGTTCCCCATTGTCCGCTGTCATTCATGCACCTGCATAGCTGTAAAAGAGTATAAAATTGGCTGCATTCGTGTGCCGGGTACCACACTCTCACGAGTGCATGGTCCCTGCCGGAAGGTAAATGAATCTCTCGGTAATTCCAACCAGTCTCTGGTCACGTCTGTAAAATCGCTGCACAACAGTTACCCCGAAAACAGGGCCACGCGCGCGCACCTAGTCTTCTTTGAGACGCTGTCCCCCTTTTTCTCCCGTTCCGAGCACGTTCTGACGGTCGGAGGCCCGCCCGGATCCCGGGATTTCCCGGTTCCACCCTGACAGAGGGACAAAAGTTACCCCGAAAACAGGGAGACGCGAGCGCACCTAGTCCTGTTTGAGGCACTGTCCCTCCACGCAGGCCTCCGTTTCTTCCCATACCGAGCGCTTTCCGACGGTCGGTGGCCCGTCTGGAGGCCAGGATTTCCTGGCTCCACCATGACAGAGGGCCAAAAGTTGCCTGAAAAGAGGGCGACATGGACACACCTATTCCTCTTTGAGACGCTGTCCCTCCACGCAGGCCTCCGTTTCCACCAGTTCCGATCGCGTTCCGACGATCGGAGGCCCGCCCGGAGGCCGGGATTTCCCGTGCCCACTGTGACAGATGGGCAAAAGTTACTTCCAAAAGAGAGCGATGCGCGCGCACCTAGTCCTCTTTGCGACGCTGTCCCTCCGCGCAGGCCTCCGTTTCTGCCCCTTCCGAGCGCGGTCCTACAGTCGGAGGACCGACCGGCGGCCACGATTTCCCTTCCCCACCCTGATAGAGGGGCAAAAGGTACCCCGAAACAGGGCGACAAAAGCGCACCTAGTCCTCTTTGAGACGCTGTCCTTCCGCACAGGCCTCCATTTCCCCCCGTTCCAAGTGCGTTCCGACGGTTGGAGGCCCGCCCGGAGGCTGGGATTTCCCGGCCCCACCCTGACAGTGGTGCAAAAAGGGCGACGCGCGCACTAATCCTGTTGTAGATGCTGTCCCTCCACGCAGGCATCTGTTTCCTCCTGCTCCGAGCGCATTGGTATGTTCGGAGGTCGGCCCGGGGACCAGGATTTCCCAGCTCCACAATGAGAGAGGGGCAAAAGTTACCCTGAAAAATGGCGACGCGCGCGCACATAGTCCTCTTTGAGACGCTGTCCCTCCATGCAGGACTGTGTTTCCGCCCCTTCCAAGCGCCTTCCTGTAGTCGGAGGACAGCCCGGAGGCCGCAATTTCCCTGCCCCACCCTGACAGAGGGCCAAAATTTACCTGAAAAGAGGGCGACACGGAAACACCTAGTCCTCTTTGAGACGCTGTCCCTCAGCGCAGTCCTCTGTTTCCGCACGTTCCAAGCACATTCCGAAGGACGGAGGCCGCCCGCTGGCTGAGATTTCCCGGCACCACCCTGACAGAGGGGAAAAATTTGCCCTAAAAAGAGGGCCACACGGACACACCTGGTTCCCTTGGAGACGCTGTCCCTCCGCGCAGGGCTCCGTTTCCGCCCATAACGTGCGCGTTCCGAGGGTCGTAGTCCCCCCCGAAGGCCGGGATTTCCCAGCCCCATGCTGACAGAGAGGTATAAGTTGCCCGGAAAAAAGGGCGACACGCGCACCTGATCCTATTGGAGACGCTGTCCCTCCGCGCAGGCCTCCGTTTCCACCCGTTCCGAGCGCGCCCAGAAAAAAGGGCGACGTGCGCACCTAATCCTGTTGGAAACGCTGTCCCTCTGCGCAGGCCTATGTTTCTGCCCATTTTGAGTGCATTCCGACGTTCGGAGGCCCGCACAAAGGCCGGGATTTCCCGGCCCCAAGCTGACAGAGGTTGAACATTTGCCTGAAAAAAGGGCGATACGGACATACCTAGTCCTCTTTGAGACGTTGTCCCTCTGCGCTGGCCTCCATTAACGCCCGTTCCGGGCGCGTTCCAACGTTTGGAGGTCCGCCCGACGGCCAGGATTTCCCGGCCCCACGCTGAAAGAGAGGCATAAGTTGCCTGGAAAAAAGGGCACTGCGCGCAACTAATCCTGTTGGAGATGCTGTCCCTATGCACAGGCCTCCATTTCCACCCATTCCGAGCGCGTTCCGATGGTCGGAGGCCTGCCCGAAGACAGGGATTTCCCGGCCTCACGCTGACAAAGGTTCAAAGGTTGCCTTGAAAAGAGGACGTCGCGCGCACGTAGTCCTCTTTGAGACGCTGACCCTCCCCACAGGCTTCCGTTTCCGCCCGTTCCAAGCACGTTCCGACAGTTGGAGTCCCGTCTGGAGGCCAGGATTTCCCGGCTCCACCATGACAGAGGGGCAAAAGTCACCCCGAGAACAGGGTGATGCACGCGCACGTACTCATCTTTGAGACGCTGTCACTCCCCACAGGCCTCTGTTTCTGCCCGTTCCGAGTGCGTTCCTACATTCGGAGGCCCGCCCGGAATCCGCGATTTCCCTGCCCCACCCTGACAGAGGAGCAAAAGTCACCCCGAGAACAGGGCGACGCGCGCGCACATAGTCATCTTTGAGACGCTGTCACTCCCCACAGGCCTCCGTTTCTGCCCGTTCCGAGCATGTTCCAACGGTCGGAGGCCCGCCCGGAGGCCGGGATTTCCCGGCTCCACCCTGTCAGAGGGATAAAAGTTACCTCAAAAACAGGGCGACACGCGCACCTAATCCTGCTGGATACGCCGTCACTCCACGGAGGCCTCCGTTTCCGCCCTTGCCGAGCTTGTTCCGACGGTCGGACGCCCGCCTGGTGGCCACGATTTCCCGGCCCCACTCTGACAGAGGGGCAGAAGTTGCCCAGAAAAACGGGCGACGCACGCACCTAATCCTTTTGGAGACACTTTCCCTCCGCGTAGGACTCCGTTTCCGCCTCTGCCGAGCACGTTCCCTCATTTGGAGGCCCGACTAGAGGCCGGGATTTCCCGGCCCCACCCTGACAGAGGGGCAAATTTTGCCCCGAAAAGTGTGCGACGCGGACACACACAGTCCTCTTTGAGACGCTGTCCCTCGGCGCAGGACTCCATTTCCTCCCGTTCTGAGCACATTCCAACGGTCGGAGGGCTGCCCGGAGGCCGGGATTTCCTGGCCCCCCACTGACAGAGGGGCAAAAGTGGGCCCAAAAACAGGGCGATGCGTGCGCACCTAGTCACCTTTGAGCAGCTGTCCCTCAATGCAGGCCTCCGTTTCCGCCCGTTCCGGGCGCGTTCTGACGACGGAGGCCCGCCCGGAGCCCAGGATTTCCCTGCCCCCCCCGACAGAGGGGCAAAATTGGGCCCGAAAACAGGGCGATGCGCGCACTCCTAGTCCTCTCAGAGACACTGTCCTTTTGCGCAGGCCTCCGTTTCCGCCTGTTCCGAGCATGTTCCGAAAACAAAGGCCCCCCGGAGCCCGGGATTTCCCTGCACCCCGCTGACAGAGGGGCAAAAGTTGCCCCGAAAACAAGGCGACGCGCGCACATGTAGTCCTCTTGGAGACGCTGTCCCTCCATGCAGGCCACTGTTTCTGTCCCTTCTGAGCGCGTTCTGATGGTCGGAAAGTGGCCCCGAGGCCGCGATTTCCCATCCCCAGACTTACAGAGGGGCAAAAGTTTCCCGGAAAAGAAGGCCACGCGGGCACACCTTGACCTCTTGGAGACGCTGTCCCCCGCGCAGGCCTCCATTTCCGCCCCTTCCAAGCGCGTTCTGATGGTGGTAGGCCCGCACGGAGGCCAGGATTTCTTGGCTCCACTGTGACAGTGGGGAGAATGTTGCCTCGAAAAAAGGATGAGGCACGCAAACCTAGTCCTATTTGAGACGCTGTCCCTCCGCGCAGGCCTCCGTTTCCTCCCTTTCCGAGCGTGGTCTGATGGTCGGAGGCCCGTCCAGAGTTCGCGATTTCCCGGCCCCACCCAGACAGAGGGGCAAAAGTTGCCTCGAAAAGAGGACAATGCGGCCACACCTAATCCTCTTTGAAGCGCTGCCCTCCATGCAGGCCTCCGTTTCTGCCCGTACCGAGCGCAGTCCGATGATCGGAGTCCCGCCCGAAGGCCGTGATTTCCCAGCCCCACGCTGACACAGAGGCAACAGTTACCCCGGGAACAGGGCGATGCGCTCACCTAGTCTTCTTAGAGACGCTATCACTCCGTGCAGGACTCCGTTTCCGCCCGTTCCGGGCACGTTCCGGCAATCGGATGCCAGCCCGGAGGCCATGATTTCCCGCCCCCACCCTGACAGAAGGCCAAAACTTGCCTGAAAATAGGGCGACACGGACACACCTAGTCCTCTTTGAGACACTGTCCCTCTGTGCAGGCCTCCGTTTCCGCCCGTTCCAGGAGCATTCCGACGGTCGGAGGCCCGC